CACGGTCTTCATCCTTCCTGTACTGCCTTCCTGATTGCTGTTGGCACAGCGGCCAACCCCCACTGGTTCTCCTGGCTCATTTTGGGGCTTTGTTCACCACTTTGAAAAATTTTCTGCTTAATCACTATCAGCTTAAAACTTCTATCCTGAAGAGACAAGTTGCATAAATGCAGATATTCTATATCTCACTGACCTAGGCTGACTTTGATGAATAGTGTGTTTTAACTCAAAATATTCTCTGAATTCTAAACAGCTCTTTCTGGTACTATTTTCAGAGGTTGGAAAATCATAATAATATGTATAAAAATTTTCAATATATCGTGGACACCACACTCGCCTTTCTTTATAAAGCCTTAATTCCTATGTTTAGAGACTCATAAATGAGACAAGTTTCCTATAACATGAGTGTTATTCAGATCTCTCACAAGGGGAAAAGATTCTTACAAGTACCTTGAGCTGGTTTATGATGTCTTTCGCAATATTGCACACACACAAATACACATATACACAAACACAAAACCAAGGAATGGACTCAGTTTTACAGATTTATACATCTGTGAAACTAAGACAAATCTGTTCATTAAATACAAATTAAACTACCTGATAGAGAAATTCAAATCTGCCATATTGACTTAATACAAGGAATGGCACACTGCTGAATCTAAGTCACGCTCAAGGCATCGGCACCGTGCTGACAGCAACAGCGTGAGCCTATTTCATCACCTACTACAAGATGCTCAATTCTCCCCCCAACCCTTGTTAACAGGGCTCACCATAACACGATTTGAGTATTCTGCCTTTAATCCCAGCACGGGGAGGCAGAGGCAGGCAGACGTCTGTGAATTCAAGGCCAGCCTGGTCTACTTAGTGAGTTCCAGGACAGCCAGGGCTAAACATCAAGAATCTGTCTCAAACAAAACAAAATTGAACAAACAAAAAAATCAATTTGACTTTGATGTGACCATATTTTTATTTTTTAATTGTTCTGTTGTGTTTTTTTCCCCTCAAGTCTGTAGCAATTCTCTTAGTTCTTACACATCCAAACACAGACAGTAGAATTTCATTCCTAAGAAAACTATAAAGGGTTCCTACATTTTAAGAGATTTTCTACCTCACTATTAATCCAATGCAAATTAAAATGAGAGTCTATTTCATCTGTCAAATTGGCAAAGCTTTTTTTTAAAAAAAGATAAATGCTGGTGGGCATGAATGTATGATGGGCACTTTTGAACACTTACTGTGGGAATAAAATCTTGCCTGACCTTTGTGGAAAGCAATTTGGCGGGCGTAAGAGATTTAAAAACCTCTGAATCAGTAATTTCAAATACAGCTTTCTATCCTAAGGTAATAATTTTAAGCTCCTGGAAAAAAAAAAGATTCCTGAATAAAGATATTCATGGAAATGTGAACAGTGACAAATAGAAGCCCCCAAATGTCCAAGTAGTGGAACAATTAAAGAAATTAATGAATGTACAGGCAGACTTCAGGGATACTGCGGTTTTGGTTCTAGATGTAGTAAACACTGCAGCAGCGAATCACGCCAAGTTTTTGGTTTCTCAGTGTGTGTAAATGTTGATGTAATAATATCACACCATTCTGCAGTACAGTCAGTATTCAATCACATCATAAAACAACGTGCATGCCTCAACTGGACATTGCTTTATTGCTAAGAAGTGACGACAGTGAGGTGAGCCATCTGGAGGAGTGGTGATATTTTTGCTGCTGAGGGTCTGACCTCAGTGTTGATGATACTGATTCATGAAGGTGAAGCTGCTGCTGCTGGAAGTGACTTAACTGATGAGAACGTTCTCCTAGCATGAGCTGTTATCTTGGGAACCTTTCACCCCCAGTAGAAATGCTTTCAAAACTGGAACTAAATTTCTCAGACTCTGCTTTTCACCTACACTCATATTATGGATCCTTTTTCATTCCAACCATGTTCACAGAATCTTCGCCAGACATAGATTCTATCCCAAGAAACTGGGTTCTCCTCATCCACAGAAGGCAACTCATTTGTTGATGTTTTATTATGAGATCAATTCAGCTGCCTCTTCAAACTTCACTTCTCTGGCGGCCCCTACCACATCTGCAGCTGTTTCCTCTCTGAAGTCCTGAACCCGTCAATGCCACCCATTAACTTCCAAATGTCTGGTAAAGTTGGTATTCTCACCTCCTCTATGAATCACAAATGCTCTTAAGAGTACCTAGCTTTTCTTGAAGGTTGCACAGATCATCAGAAGAGTCAATATTTATAGCAGCTATTGCTTTGTAAAATGTATGCTCTTGTTTTTCAGTGTTGAAGACCCACCCTGAAACCAGGCCAGCACCATGCCACTAGGCTACACCCTCCACTCCACAGAATATGCTTCCTACTATCTAGACAGGTTTTAAAGTTACATTTATTATTTGTGTATACGTGGTGCATATGTGTAAGAGGCTACACACAGCACAGTGCACACAAGGAAGTCAGAGGACAACTTACCATGTGGGCCCTCGGATCAAGCGCAGGTTGCTGGGTTTGGCGGCAAGAAAACACTGAGCAATCTCGAAAGCTCAAGATTTCTTAGATATTAAGACTTTCCAGCCATAGGGACTTACATTAAACCCCAGTAGCTGGGAGACTAGGTGGGGAGGACTATGTGAATTTGGGCCAGTCTAGGCTACAGAATGAGTTCAAGGCTAGCCTGGGTTATAGTGAGACTGTCTGAAAACAAAACGAAAAAACCAAAACCCTGGGGCTGGAGGGATGGCACCACGGTTAAGAGCACTTGTTGCTCTTGCGGAGAACCCAGGGTCTGGGCTCAGTACCCACATGGTAGTTCACAAACATCTGACTGGCCTCCAAGGGCATCAGACATGCACATGGTATACACACATAGATGAAGGTAAAATTCCTATGAATTTTGTTTTTGTTTTTTAAGACAGGTTGTCTCGGTGTATCCCTGGCTGACCTTGAACTCACAGAGATCTGAGACAGCTCCTGAATGCTGGGATGAAAGGCATGAGCTACCACTGCTCAGCTGGATAAAATAAAATTTAAGAAATCTTCAAGAAGTCATAAGTCTGGGAAAAGGATGGGGGCTGGTTTGGCAGGAGTGTGAGGGTAATAGTTAGAACATATTTTATATGTGTATGAAATTGTCAAAACCAACATAAAAAAGAAAAAATAAAATTTTTACTGCTAACTCTCCTCCAAGAACAGAAGTGATAAAATGTAATTATTAAAAAAAAAAAAAAAAGACTTAGTGAAAGTAGACCAAAAAAAGGGATATGGGTAATTTTTATTTTAAAATATTTTCTGAATTTTCCAAGGTTTCTATAATAAGCACACACTACTTTTATTTTTAGTTAAGTATCACTGGACAGGCAAGCTGTGATGCTGCTCCAAATGTTCCATGCTGTGAACAACGGGATATGAAAGGCCGTCACGGTGAAGGGACTTCAGACATAGCTTGAGTTAGAATCTGCTCTTCTACACCAGCCACCCACCAGGCTTAGGTCTGCGTTCCAGCATTATCCCGAATGAGCGCAAGGCTACCATAAAATATTCTGAGAATGTCAGTTAACAACATTCCCATCTTTCATGTCCCACTTCCCATATGTCTGCTGACATCTTTCATGTGCCCATTTTGTCCACCCCGCTTCAGATGGGCCCGTCACACACAGTACACACACACACACACACACACGCATACATAGTCATGGCTGAAATGTGTTTCTATGGGTGACGATTAAAGATATGGAAGCCACTGCCCATACCCTAGCCACATCAGGCTAGTAACTGGTCCCTAAACTCACCTTGGATTGTAACTAACCCCATTGTTCCCTCAGTTAGGCAGTCTCTCTGGCTCCTGCCTACAGAAGCCCCATTTTTCAGCTAAGTTGATTATTTTCCTTCATCCGTGACCCTAAAAACAGCAGCCCTGTAATTTCTTTATATCACTGTAATCAGCCAGCCTTTACTGAGATGGTGCTTGCACATCAAGTTCTTAGTTCCAAAACACTTTTAGAAAAGGCCTTTGTTTTTCTCACTTCTTGATCTGTTCCAGGCCGAGAGGTATGGGGAGTCTGGTTGACCTTCAACCGCTGTCGGCCATACTGAGTGTTTTGTGTAACTCCTCTGGAAGTACCTTCTGGTCTCTTCCTCCTAATTTCTCGACCACAGAGTGGTCCAGCAATCTGCCTCCTGGGGTTACTAACTATCTACAGTGGCAACTTAAAAGCCAAATGTCCCGAAGGTTTTAGCGTTTTCGAGTAGCAAATTAGAAAAAAAAAAAAAAAAAAAAAAAAAAAAAAATTCCGTAAAGATGGCTTCTTTATTTGATGTGAGCCACCCTGTATTTTTGATGTTAAGATGAACTTTTAAAAATGATAATTTGGAAGGCTGGATGTGGTCTTTAATCCCAGCACTTCAGAGACAGAGGCAGGTGGATCTCTTAAATTCGAGACCAGCCTGGTCTACAAAGAGACAGCAAGGGCAACACAGAAAAACCCTTGTCTCGAAGAAAAAAAAAAAAAAGCAATCTGGAAAAGGATAGTTTTCAGTATCCATGCTTATTTGCAAAATAATGCTTCCCCTTCCTCTGTGTTCGCCCTTTAAAAGAAAATTAATTAGTAGATACCACCAAATCCTGCGAAATTAATTCCATAGCGACCCCCTCTCCCCTCCCATTATCCATCGAAACTGAGACAGGTCTCCCTCAGTATCCCAGGCTAGCTTGAACTCATCTAATCAAGCTCCTGCCTCAAGCTCCCGCGCGCTAGGGTGGAAGGCGTGAGCCACGACACCTGGCTGTGGGGTCGGCTTCCGGGGGCTCAGGTGAACTCACTGCTCGGGGCTGAAAAGGACGTTCCTCTCCCACCCGAGGACCCGTTTACCGGGCTGCGCCCGGGGTGAGTCTCTCTTTAAGGAGGGCGTGGCGCAGAGGCGCGCACCGCCCAGCGCGGAGCGTCTCCGGGGAAGACGGCGGAAGCGCGCCCTCGAGCCGCGGCCACTGCGCGTGCGTGGGGGCCGGCCTCGCGGGGTCACGTGGGCCGGGGGTCCCGTCCGGGCGGACGCAGGCTCAGGTAACCCGCGTCCCGAGCAGGCGGGGCGGGGCGGCGGGTGCGGGGCCGGCGCCTCGGGAGTGCGCGGATGGAAGCTGCGGCCCGGTCGCTCGCGGAGACCCTGCGGCCGCCGCGGGCTGCCCCTGGAGTCTGGGCTCCGGCTGGGTCAGCGGTTTCCACCCGGGTCCGCACGCCTGCGAGGGCTGCGGCCGGGCGGCGGGTGCCGTCCCTCCCACACCGCGCCGGGTGGAAGCGCTCACCCCGTGGGATTGCGGTGCAGTCTTGTGGGTCCGGCTCCTCCTCGCCTCCTGCCAAGTGTGCCCCAGCCCGAGGGCCGCAGGTGGAAGTTGGGGGCACCCCTGTGCTTGGCTAGCCGTCCAGGCGTGGCACTGGGGACGCAGCAATCCGGAGTCTGGGTGTACCAAGTGGGCGTGTTTCAGGGACGGGGCTGTGCTGGGTTCCCGGGGCGGCGGCACTGCCTTCTTAAAGTAGGCGGGGCTCTGCTTGCCGGGAACACTAGCCACTGCACTGCCCACCCTACTGCGGGCCACTCCTCCCACCCCGCCCCCCAGCCCCCCCCAAAGAAACAACGCATCACAGATGTTGGCTAGTACTGCTAACTCTATTCCAGGTGTCTGGTTTTTTTTTTTTTTTTTGGGGGGGGGGGGGAGAAAATTACACGACGTTGTGTGTGGGTTTGTGTTACCCTTCTGTGTTTGAAGTAGAGATTGAGGCCGGGGGACCCACATGTGTTTAAGTCATGGGTTTGCTCATGTTGACATGTAAGCAGGAAAGTATTGAGTCCTCCGGCGATAGCTGACCCGGTTTGTAGAATACACGGGAAAGATAAGTGGAGCAGTTTTGTTTAAACTGTTGGCCTTTGTGTGGTTGAAGTGACTGAGTTATGTGAGAAAATTCCTTGCAGACCTCTAGCAGAATGAGATGGTGATTTTTCTTTTCTTTAGATGTTTCTTTTGTAGTTGGACTGTTGGCAGCTGGTGAGTGCCTTCTGTCTTCCAGAGTTTAGAATAGTTTCGGTGACTCTGAGCGTTATGCCACTATTCCACAGACATTTCAGGCACGGTGACAGGAGAAGGAAGGTCTGCATGTGTGTGCGTGCGTGTAGAAGCGAGAGGTTAGCACTGGATTTATTTTGTTTAAATGCGCCCACGTGCGCGTGTGCACGTGCACAGGGATCGTGATGCAGGAGCTGGAGTTACAAGCAATTGTGAGCCACCCCGTGCTCATGCTAGTGACCAAACTCTGGTCATACATAAGAGCAGTATCCTTTCTTAATCACAGAGCCACCTCTCCTGCCCCTCTATTTTCTTTTTGAGATGGGACCTCTTGCTCAAGGCATAGCTTGCTGATCCAGTCAGGTGTATGAGCTAGGAAGCCTTAGGAGAACTTCTTGTTCCCATCTCTCCACGCTGGGGTTACAGGCTCATGCCACCATTCTCACTTTCTTAATGCAAATTTTGGGGTATCAAAGTCAGGTCCTCATATTTGCCTCTCAAGCACTTTACTGCCTAAACCATCTCCCCAGACTTACCTTTAAAAAAAAATCCACAAAATTAATTATTATTATGATGTGTGCATGCACGCCTCCCAGGGCACACTTGTGGAGGTCAGAGCACAACTTTGTGAAATCCTCTCCTTCCTCCTTTATGTGGGAATCCAATTCAGGTTGCTTTCATAGAAGTGCTTTGTCCCCTGAGCCATCTCGATGGCCTCCCACCTTGCTTTTGAGACAGGGTCTCTTCCTGTCCTGGTGCCGTGTAGGCTATGCTGACAGGTCATCCGGCCCCAGGATCTGTCTGTCTCTACTTCCCTAGTTGGGATTACAAATGTGGGCCGCCGTTGGCCTGGCTGTTTCTCTTGAGTTCTGGGGACTTAGTGATGGATGTTATCAAGGCCTTCATGCTTGCATGGCACACGATGTACTGAGTAAGCTGTTTCCCCAATTCATTGTGGCCCTTTCCCCTTGAGACAGGGCTTCTTTGTGTCAACTTAGCTGTCCTGTACACCAGGCTGTTCTTGAACTCGGAGATCCTCACCTGCCTCTGCCTCCTGAGTGTTGGGATTACAGGTGTGAGCCACCATCTTCCAACCAATGTGGCCTTTGGACTTAATGAGCTAGGTTTAACTTTTATTTATTAGCTTCCATAGAGGTCTTTTCTTGACCCAAGTTCGCAGTCACCTTTGTGTAGGTATATATGTAGGTCAGCTTGCTGTCTTTCAGACCCGGAGTTCTCAGTTGGGTTAGCTTCAGTGTGTGCCTTGCGTGTTTTGAGTCAGCAACTGTAGGTTTCTCCTGGACTCCTCACCCTTCAGTGGCTTCTTAGACTCCATGTCAGCAACAATTATATCTTTTTAAAATCAGGCCTCTTTCTGTTACAAGTGTCAGAGAACAGTTCAAATGCACTTAAGCCAAAAGAGATTTTTTGGTTTACAAACCTGGGAAGAGACTGGGTGTCATTACATCAATCAGTGGTTCTGGGGACCTCTCCCCTCTCACAAATGACCTCCAGCATCTTGGTCCCCATCTCTCTTTCTCTGAGAGCCTCTCATTCTGTCCTGTTACTTAGTGTGAAAAACAAGTTCCTGACAGCTCTTCCAAGCCAGTGTACCCTAGAGTTGAGAGGACACTCTTGCCTTCTGTAGTTACAAGTTCCAGGAAGGACCCTGATTCAGGCCACATTGGAGACAGATGCCCTGTGCATAGTTGTTTTTTTATTTATTTTTATTTATTTTTTTTATTTTTCCGGCTAGGCTCATAGGCACATGATTGGTGGCACCACCAAAGTCACATGGTTGGAGACTTCCCAAACTGAGTACCATTGAGGCATTCCAGGGAGACTGACATGTGCTCCCTAAACCCTCAGTGCTGCTGGCTTTTGCTCCATGTGGGAGCAGAGCGCTGTTTATTTCTCTTAGCACAGATGAAGTCAGATGCTTTTACATGGGGCATGCATGAACTGAGACTGACCAAAAGGCCAGCAGGTATCCATTTCCTGTTCTATACTCACGTGAAACAGTTGAATGGAATACCCTGGCTGTGTGAGTCACACCTTTTCTTTTTTCCTCTTTTCGGTAGATAATTGGGTTCCTTTAAATTAAAGAGATACATGATACATTCCTGTTATTTTCATGAATAGACTGAATGTGAAAACCCACAAACCTCTGGAAGTCATGGAATTTGTGTCATGTTATACAAAAGCTGAAACATTGTTAAAAATACTTGTAGATTAGAAAAACATTCTCCTAGATGGGAAGCTCTTTTGAGTACAGTGCTGTCTCAGTTACTTTCTGTTGACTGTGATAAAACACCAGTACCAAAGCATCATGGGGAAGGAAGGGCTTATTTGGATTTACGGTTCCAGAGGGATAAGAGTCCATCACCACTACGGCAGGGAAGTTTGACAACAGGCAGGCATTCGTAGCGTGTAGAGCAGATGAGGGCTCACATCTTCAGCTGTGACCTGAACTGCAAATGGCTCAAGGCTCAGAACCTTAAAAGCAGAGTGAAGGGAACCTCAAAGTGTAGCAGTTGGGCAGGTGTTCATCTGAGTCATGGAAGTAGAACTCAGTTGTAATTTGGGTTATTGTGGTACAGATCTCTATATACTCTAAATCAAATGATACCCTTGAAACGGAACAGTCAGAGGTAACAACACTGGTATGTTTAATTTACAAACCAGGTGTTATTCCTAGCTTCCAACTCTGTGTTAATCAGCAAATATTTATTGAATGCAGCATGCAAGTCATTAAGCCCAGAGATTTAGAAGTATGGTTCCCCTTTTCCATTGTTGGAGAGAAAAGGCATAGCCATATGGTAAGTTAACTGGTGAACCAAAAGAAGGAAAGTACAAAGATAGTGCTAAGGAAAACATGCCTTAAGTAGGCTATCACCAAACCTGCCTATAATCTCAGCGTTTGAGAGCCTAGGCTAGGCAGATCATGAGTTCAAGGCCAGCCTGGACACCTAGTGAAGTTGAAGCCAGTATGGGCTTGATAGTGGAGAAGAGAGGAAAGAAGAGAGCACAAGAGTGCAAAAGAGTGAGAGAGAGAGAGTGTGTGTGTGTGCAAGAGCGCGCATGCACAAGAGTATAGCCTACAAGATTTAGAAAGTGATTCAGGAAGGAAGGTAATGCTCCAGTCACAGCTGAACAGTGCATACAAAGAATGAAGGAACTTAGATAAGTATAGAGGAAAAGGAATGAGAAGCAAGCAGCATGGGGGGGAGAGTGTTTTTACCCATACTGGCTTGCCTTGAACTCATGGCAATCCTTTTGCCTCTGCAGCCTGGGATTACAGGCATGTACCTCACCATGTCCAGTGGCAGAAGCTAGTCCTGAAGGACTTCGTGTAGACCGCTCATGTAATTGTACGGGAGGAGAAAGTAGGGAACACCTGTGCATCTGAAATTACAGGCTCAGAATGTGGAGTTTATCCTGTGGTGGGCTCCTGAGGATGAGATCCACTGGAGAAGGTTAATAGAAAACAAATATAAATTAACTAGATTGTAGTCTTTTCCTTCACAAGACAACAAAACAAAGAAGCAGAGTTAAAAATACGTGGATTAAGATGGGCAGAAGCAGCTGGGCAGTGGTGGCACACACCTTTAATCCCAGCACTCAGGAGGCAGAGACGGGCAGATCTCTGTGCGTTCGAGGCCAGCCTGGTCTACAGAATGAGTTCTAGGGTCGCCAGGGCTACATAGAGAAACCCCATCTTGATCCCCCTCCAAAAAAGGGGGGGAGGGAGAAGCAAGTCTAACTTAACATTGTTTCCTTACCAGGATTTCATGGTATTTAATACAGTATTGTAAATTTAAAAAACAGTTTTAACTGTGGTAAGTTAACTAGTAAATCAAAAGAAGGGAAATATCAAGACAATGTTTAAGAAAACATTTCTTTTTTGGGTTTTTTCGAGACGGAGTTTCTCTGTGTAGCCTTGGCTGTCCTGGAGTCACTTTGTAGACCAGGATATTCTCCTACTCACAGTGATCCACCTGCCTC